TTATTATTATTATATTCACCACCTGTTTGGCTTAGTCAGTTGTGCACAGGTGGCCAATGTGCATGCAAGCAGTGCTTGCCTTTTTAATAGAAATCCTAGCATGCTTTGAAAACTGAGAGTGATGGATGTACCTTATTAACCTATTAAATGCTGACTTTAAAACCTACACTGGTAGTCCAATGCTTTTTATATATTCTCTGCGAGATCCTACAGTCTCCAGAGAGCCTGTATAGTCTGAAGTGAGGTGCTACAGAGTTAAAGTTGAACTCCAGGCTTACCTTTTTTTCACTTCTAGCAAGTCCTCTCCTGTGTTGAGATGACTATCCTCAATTCTATGCAAATTTTCATGTCCATAATATAATCATTTGAGGCTGCAGAGACTATCTTGAGCCCAGTTTTCTGTCTCAGCCACCTCCATCACTTATGAATCAAGCATAGCTATTAATGTCCTCTGACATCAATGATTTTTAATGTCATCTGCAGCTTTGTGTAAAAGAACACATCCCTGGCATCCCTTTAGCCATACACTACACTTTAGCTTTAAAGTAGAAGTCTCACTAAAAATGTAAACATTTACATTTTTATTTAACTTTCTAGGGGACAAAGAGCATATAGCACTTGGTCATGTTCGAATCCATCCTGCTGTTGTCAGCATGGTCAGACAGTTTAAGCACCGCCGTCCGACTATGTTGCTAGCAAGGAGAAGAAGTTTTGAGTGACACCAGTGGTCTTTGGCAGCAGGGGCCACTCTGGAGACCAGCTCTGCCATATACTGTATAACATATTACTTAGCATTGTGGGTCTATGATCTATCTGCCTGGGCTATCTGCCCCAACAGATAGATTACATAGCCCAGAAGTTCTGAGTGATCCTTTATAATTGAACAATCAGTGCTGTTGGGGCCAGTACAGTGTATGACACAGCCCCAACAGTGCTGAGTATTCATTCATAAAAGCTCACTCAGCACTTCTGTTTACAAGCAGCCCCAGCAGATAGATCAAACAGCCCTGCTTGTAAACACAGTCCTGGTAGATAGATCACAGTCCCACAGTACTGAGTGACCTGTCTGTCATGACCAGTATGAGCCCTGACAGCACTTAGCAGTCATTTATAAAAGCCCCCTCAGTGCTGTGGGGCTGTGATCTATCTACCAGGCTGTGTACTTGCAACCAGACCTGGTAGATAGATCACATAGCCCTGCAGTGCTGAGGGGTCTTATACATATGAACAATCATGGCTATCAGAGCTGTGTGGTAGACCTGCCGGTGATCTGTGTGTTTACTAGCAGCCAGCAGCTATATCACATAATCCTGTAGTGCTGATTGTTCATTTATTAGCTGGCTGTTCATTTGCTATTATAGAGGGGTTGGAGCTCAGTGCTGGCTGTACTTCCCCCATTTTAGGCTCCAGATTGGGGTGGTCAGCATTAACATAAATAAAAGGGTGTTTTAATTCTGCAATGGGCATACTGATCTGAACAGGACCAAGCGTTAAATGCATTTGGCTCCCTGGAGGATAAAAATATATATATATTTATTTTTTTAATGAGACTTCTTCTTTAAGAGAAAGATGAACATTACAATAGAATAGTTTTCCTATGTAGCATACATAGCTTGTATACATGCTTTGACTTTTGGCGTAGCATGTACTTTTTTTTATACTGTAGCACTGTTCTTTAGAGATTCTCTGTTGTTTTCCCTCATTATTTTGTTTATGCACCCTTGATATGTTCTTACACATAACATCATCAATTATGTATTTCTACACAGCTTGTTCCTCAGGAAGCTCATGAGTTAGGTTATTGATCATGTTTACTACTGAGACCTTGAATCTAGAAGCTTACATTCAAATGCTACCCTTCTCCTTGACATATCACAGTGTTTACATCTGTTTACATTTTCCGCACCTAGAGCAACTAGAGACTCTGCTCTGTCAAAGAGCATAACAACACAGCTTAAATGTACAGCATGCAATATAGAAGAGCTGTTTCTGACAAAATACTGCCACTTTGTGATTGTCATATTCCTGCCACGACACATATCCAGAAGGACGAAACTCATCTCTTTATGCTACAGTTAAAGCTGAACCCCCAGGTTCCAAATACAAAATCACCAATGTATGTAGTTATTAAATTATTAATAATCACAAAATGTACAACTCCAATTCAAAAAAGTTGGGATGCTGTGTAAAATCTACATAAAAACAGAATGCAATGATTTGCAAATCTTATAAACCCATATTTTATTCACAATAGAAAATAGAAAACATATAAAATGTTTAAAATAAACAATAAAGGTGATCAGCGCCAGTAAGTGTAATGTGAAAATAAGAGCTACCAAGCACTAAGGATATAACTAAATATCTGAAAAACGTGAAAAACAATATTGTGCCGAGCTAATGATCATTTGTGGAGGGAGGCAGGTTGCTGTCCAAGACCCACTTCAAAGAGACGGATAGAAACAGTTACATTCCCACTGTCAGTTGTCACCACCCGACCTGGCTACGTAACATACCCAGAGGCCAGATCATACGGGTTAGGAGGAATTGTCATAGTTACGATGATTTTAGAACACAAGCATATATATTAAAAAAGAGATTTGTGCACAAAGGCTATCAGGAGAGCTTTGTGGAAAAAGAGATATGCAAGGTAGCAGATATAGATAGACATACTTTAATTGCTGATAAGACTGATATTGTCAGGAATGAACCGCCTATGGCTCTGTTTTTGGATTTTAACGCACAGTATAAAGATATTGAGAGGATTATAGCCAGGCACTGGGAGATTTTATTATTAGATGAAGCATTAAGAAAAGTATTACAACCCAAACTGAAATTTGTCTATAGGAAAGCCTGTGCCACTAAGGATATTATAGCAAGAGGTGTTGTAGATAATCCAAGAACAGAAATCCGGTAGCCTTCCTTGATGCGGTGGGTTTTTATTCATGCAGGCGTTGCCATGCATGTAAAAATGTTCCCAATAATATGAAACTCAGGAAAACTTTCCAGCTGAATGCTACTAACATTCAAGTAGATATTAGAGATTTTATATCCTGTGATACAGAGGGTGTGATTTATGGTTTACAATGTCCGTGTGGGTTGCAATATATTGGTCGCACCACGAGAAAATTAGGCACCAGAATTAAAGAACACGTTTATAACATCAAACGAGGTTATAAAGATCATTCTGTCTCTAAACACTTTCTGCAGGTACATAAAAAAAAACAGGTTTATTACAGTTCTGGGGAATAGAAAAGGTGTCTAGACACTGGAGAGGGGGGATTTGGAAACGCCAGTTAGCGAAAAAAGAAACCCAATGGGTTTTTAAAGCAGGTTCTTTGAAGCCCTATGGACTTAATGCAGAATTCGACCTAAATTGTTTCATATCTAATGCCTGAAATTTTTAGGGGCAGGAGTGGTTTTTATACATTTTGTTATTTTTACATACTAGTTTTTTTGCGCCCATTTTTTACGTGCTATTTTTTTACATGGCATTCCCATTTTTGAGAATTATATATATATTTTTTTGTTTGCTGCCCCCTGTAGGCCTATTAGTTGGCCTATCTATATAATATTATATGGGATTGATTGATTTATTTGTATGATCATTTTATATGGATTTGGTGCTTAGGCTCCTCCTTTATGCTCTATGTTGTTGACCTAGCTCTGTAGGTCTACCTCCCCAGGTGAGCACTCACTTGTTATCATCACTCACTGGGTGGAGGTGAAGGTCTGCCTGCATTGTGTGATTATCCTTGCCTGAGAGTTATATGCAGATTGGCTGTGAATCATCTGAAGGATTTTTTTTGCACAATCACCATTGTTTGCTTTTGTTTTTTCCTTGAGACTTTTTATTGTCTATATTGCTTTTTTGTCTTTGTGTAGATATTTTCTATGCCTCATTTGTTTGAAGGCTCATATATGTGACTCACTTATATATGTTTCAATGTATTAGATATGTATGATTATTAGCTCGGCACAATATTGTTTTTCATATAAAATGTTTGAACAGAAAAAAATTACCATTTTAAGAAAAAAATAAGGTAATTTTGAAATTGATGGCAGCAACATGATTTTAAAAAGTTGGAACAGGACAACAAAAAGCTTTAAAAGTAAAGCTGGCCATACACTTTACAACCAACGCACGATTTGAGTCGTGCGATGGTTGTAAAGTAATTAACCCCTTCATGACTGCGCTAGTTTTCAGGTTCTGTTCATAAATGACTGACACATTTTTTACATTGTTGCTGTGTGATTCTTCCACAGCAGTAATATACTTTCTTACTAAATGTACCCACACATAACGTACGATCTGCCAATCTTAGACAGGCAGATCGTACTTGCTTCCGATGACTCCAGCGGCGCATGGGCAGTGTGCGCTTGCGCACACCTGCCCGTGCAGCATTTGTCTCCCGAGAACGTCATTAACCCGCTTGACAATCGTTCGATTCTCGGCGGGTTTTCGAGCCTGCTCGGGAGACAAAAGACATGCGACCATACAATAGAAACGGTTGCACGCCTTCCATACACCTGCCGATTATCGTACGATCGCTGGATTTTCTGCGATTATCGGACGCTAATCGGCAGGTGTATGGGCACCGTAAGTGGTAATATCAAGGAAAAGCTGAAAGAATATTTAACAACTAATTAGGTTAATTGGACACAGGTCAGTAACATGATTGGGTATTAAAAGAGCATCTTAGGGCCGGTTCTGGAATGCAAGCC